TATAGAGCATACTGCAGTAACACATTGTGGTGTGAAATGTCATAATTAAAATTGTAGCTGCAGAATTCCCACCCAAAACCAACCACAGTGGGCTCATACTTCCAAGCTCTTATAAGAGCTTTGTTGCTACTGGCTTTGCCAAGATGTTCTGACCACTCCTACAACGTCAACCATTCCAGCAGGAAGAGTTTAATGCTTCTACCACTAAAGCACAGTTTCCTTTCCTAAAATGTGTAAGATTCCTTGCCTTTTGAAGATGTCTTGTGCTTGCAGGTTGTGTTGCTGCAGTTTACTTTAAGTTCACAGCACAAACACATAAACAGTGAGCTAGAACAAGGAGCAGGTTTCAGAATGTGACTTTCAGCATTCTCGATCTCCTAATGACATGGTGACCTAATCCCTAGACCTCCTACCACTGTGCCAAATCCCAAGCAGTCTGCTAAACACCCCTGAGAGTAACACCTAACTGTGCCATGAAATATTACATCAGGAGTGAGTCATTGGATCCAGAGCCAAGCTTAGATCAGCTTTATGTGCTCACAGCACTGAAGCTTATATCACTAAAATTAAACCTGGTAATTGGCAGCCATTTTTTATTTTATTTCCTTACATTAAATAACTATTGGTGTATTTCATTTCTGGAAAGTTTGCTGACCTGATCAAATATTAGAGTCACATACTTTCTGAGTGACAACTGTGTGCATTAAGATGCAGTGCAACATTTTTTTATGTGCATGCAACTGCTGTTCAGTGTGAATATTACAAACTAATTCACTCTCCCAAAAAATCCAGTTTAATAAACAGACTGGCTTCTCCCAATAAATCAGTTCGTACTGCTTTTATTTGTGTTTTGACATACGAGTCAAACACATAATCAGTCAGTGAACAGGCTGCAAATTATGTGCATAGAGTAAGGCCAATAAAGCTGACCGGTAGGCCACTAAACACTGTAAAATACACAATTGGAATCATGCTCATCTTACTTCACTAGTGCCAGGAACACATTACTGTAGATACAAATCATGTAAATAGAGCAAAAATGAAAACAAAAATGCATCGTCTTAGTGTTAAATAGTCCATGTGGGATAAACCAAAAGGAAGTAAAACAATCAGTGGAGTCTGTTTAACTCTGTGCTGTTTAAGAACTTTGCTGTGGTTGATAGGATTGTTTTTGTACTTAAAGCTATATTTCAGATCTTTTAATGTGGAGTTTTGTGGAAAGATTACAAACAATTAATATCTTACCTGTAGCTGACAGCTCTTTGAATACCCTAAATTTGAAGAAAAACGGTTTAATTCTGGCTGGTTTGATGAACTAACAGCTACTCCAAGTGGGGCCAAGACCAAAGTGGATAAAAGTTGTCTTCAAACAACTCCAGTCTTGAAATTTTATAACATATAAGGTTACATGTTTTAATTAAACAATCCTTAGAACAAAGTCCGAGAGGCCAGACAGATGGTTTGGACATGTGCAGAGGAAGGACAGTGTGTATATGTGTAGAAGGATGTTAGAAATACATCTGACAAAAAATAAAAAATTAGAGATACATGAACCTACTTGAGCTGTTGAGTTGTCAAGCTGAAGATGGTAAGTCAGCAGACTGCAGGCCATGATTGGCCAGAGAGCAACATCAATTATGGCAGCATTTCATTCACAACAATCAAATGCACCAATTTAAAATCCTTGCAGCCATAGCATTTATTACAAGGTCGCATTGTGGATCCGACTCATGGGGAAAAAAAACGACAACAAAAAAACATGAGCTGCAAAATGTCTCGTACGACTGTATTCTCTTAATATTGAGACTTTATTTTCATACTAGGACTTTCTCTTAATTTTATAGCTTTTTTTTTTCTCAACGTGGTCCTAAAGCTCCGTCATAGTTTTTATTTACTTTTGAAAAAACAACAATCCAACAACACAATTTAAGAAAAGTTACAGCTGGATTAGACTAAACATTACATGTGCAGTTTTTTCCTGTATTTATTCTGTCAATCTAAATGAAATTAGAAAAACGCATCAGGTTTAGATATTATCAGTTTTAGTGCCTCTGACGTAGGAACAGACTTTTTTTTTTCCTCAACTCTTCTTCTTCAAGCCCATAGTTCGCCCACACAGGGATGTTAGCATATTCTAGCTGCTTGAAATTCCTTCCTGCTGTCCTGGGAGCGCACACTGCATTTTAAAACTTGTTGGGCCCTTTCAAGTTTTATTTGAAAGTATGTAATTATATTCTTGAAGGAGTAATGGGTCTTTTGGAGTGATTTATATGCTGTATTAAATGCCACACTTTGAAAAGACATTTCAAATTATGGACTTTTTTGTGGGGGTACGAGTGATTCTTGATAAGACAAAATATTTTGACTATTTTACAACAGTGTTACTTTTTTTTTTTCATTTAACCTTTATTTATACAGGTTAATCCCATTGAGCCTCGGGGTCTCATTTACAAGAGAAACCTGATTTCTTTAACAAAGATTAATGACAACAGTGGATAACAACGACAACAACAGATGATCATCAAAGAGGCATAAGACTTTTTTTTTTTTTTTTTACAAATTAACATAAAATGGCAACCAAAGGGACAGTCAAAAGGAAAAAGGTAGCGAAAAAATAAAAACCCAGATAGATTATAAGGCAGTGTAGAAAGCTAAAAACAGGAACATGTCTGCATTGGTTTTTGCCAGGAACTTAACAGATGTTTGATGTCACTTAGAGAGGTCAAGGTCGAGAGCTTCAGATCTTTTTGCAATATTCCAGAAAACAGGAGGGGAATAGGAGAAGGCCCCTTTGCCTAGTTCAGTCTTCGCCGAGGGAACACTGCAGGTAATAATGTTCTGAGAGCGCACGCTGTAGCTGCACTCACGCAGACATGTAGGAGATGTATGAAGGCAGCAGACCAAGAAGTGATTTAAAGATGAAAATGTACCAGTGGGAGAGTCTGTGTGAAGTTAATGATGTCCAGTTAACCAGTGAATAGTGTGCAATGATGTGTACGGTAGTTATAGAATAGCCAGTTATGAATCTTAGTGCACCATGATAGGCAGCATCCAACATCTGCAGGGTGCTTGCAGGAGTATTCATGTAAATAATGTTACCATAGTCAATGGAGGGAAGGAAAGTCAGATACAAGGCGTTTCCTAGTTAGCATTTCAGAGTTAGACAGGATTTATTTCTGAAAAAGAAACCAATTTAATTTTCTGTTTCCTTACTAGGTTTTTCATGTGAAGCTTAAAAGAGACATGCGAGTTGACCAAGATACCCAAATATTTATAGGACTCGACAAACTCAGTAGGGACACCATAGGTGGATAAAATTAGAGGAAGAACTGCTGGAACTGACTTCCTATTTGAAAAAAGCATCCCTTTGGTTTTATCGGCATTTAGGACAAGTTTGAGATGGAACAAATCTGAATGGATGCTGACAAAGGTGGATTGCAAAAGCTGGAAAGCCTTAGCAACTGTTTTAACTTGGCAATAAACAACTGTGTCATCAGCATAGAAATGTATGGATGCATCAAGGATGCTCTTACCTACATTACCTATGTAGATTTTAAAGAGGGTGCATCCTAAGACTGAGCCTTGTCGTACACCGTTGTTGACTGTTAGATAACTTGAGTAAATACCATTATGTTGAACATATTGCCTCCGATCTAAAAGAGAGAACCAACCAATGGTGTGATCTGAAAAACCAATTTCTGAGAGCTTGTGACACAAGATGTCATACCTGATATAAGTCAAAAGTAAGGTTTTGTTTGTTTCAGTTGTTCACTGAGGTAATTGGTATTATTCATATCTTATGAGGTTTGGATGTTTCCACATATCTTTTTTTAAGTTTCTTATTTTAATACTTGTTTAAGGTGTTACATAAGGTAAATGTCAAGTTTTAGTTTAAGTTTAGGTTTATTGTTTATTTGTAATAAGCAGGTCAACAATGCAAAGAAATGCTCAAGACGAGAAGAACTGTCTCAACTCGCCAAAAAAACAAACAAAAAAAAAAATCAAGAAATACCAAAGCTTGCAACAAAAGTACAAATAAAGGACCAAAAACTGAAAAAGACATTTACAAGGTTCAAAAGAAATATAGTAAACAACATGGTAGAATATAATAGTGCAAGTAGGACAAATCAGAACAAACGAGTACCTCACAGGCACTAACACTGCTTAAATGCACATGATAAATATTCTACACAACATACAGGGTGTGTGACAGGCCACTGCAACAGTGAGCAACACTGAAATGAACTGAACCACAATGGCAAGGCAGCAACACACATGATACAGCCACATCATGCAGCAACAATAAACACATTAGGTGTCCCAGATGTGACTCAGTTCTGTCCAGCCGGTGGACAGAGAAGTCATCTGGAGCCACAGCACAGTCGGGGATGGACAGCTCCAGCCATGTTTCCATAAAGGCAAAGACACAACAGCTCCTCGTGTCCCACTCACTATAAATTTGTGTGCACAGGTCATCCAGTCTATTCCTCAGACTGAACGCCTGACTGACTGAAGGCCTGACAGACTGAACGCCTGAAAACAGGACTGAGGGAAGAAGGGGTTTGCTGAGTCTCTGGCGGGTCCTGCACAAAACACCGGCTCGCTTCTCTCCCCGTGTTTTCCTCTTACGGCGCCCAAGAAAACAAAGGACCCAGGGCAAAATGTCTGCTGTGGAGGCCCCAAAAGTTATTCCAAAGTCACCACTCACTGACAATCACAACTCAAAAAACTCCAAAAGTCTGTTGCAGTCATACCTGTAGCTTGGGAGTGCAGTGTTACCATGAGAAAGTGCTGTGTTGTCATCACTGTTTGCTTCTATACAATGATGAAATTAGTTCTCTGCATTTAACCCATCACACTATGTAAGCGCCCGAGGAGCAGTTAGGGATTAGGTCTTGCTCAAGGACACCACAACATGTGGGCATGGTGGGAAGTTGAACCTGTGGCTTTCTTGTCCCAAGTTAGCTGTCCTTCCTCTACACCACAGTGGCCCTTCAATTCAGGAGAGATCATGAATGCGGTACCTTTATACCAGAAATTATGCAGTCAAGATTCTCACATTTGGGGAATTCACAGGGGTCAGCACAAATGGAGTGCAACAGCTGAGCCTCACACTGGGTGAACCATCTTCATGATCATGGTAGTGGTAAGTTAGAATCAGAATCACAATAAGCTTTTTTATTATTGTACTGAGATGCAACGAGAGTATGTCCATGTGTCGTCCAAAAGATGGGTGGATTGCACGTAGTTGCTGCTCTTTAAGAGCGCGGCCTTCTTATGCATTTCAGAATAATTTTTTTTAGATAGAAAAAGGCCATGAGGAGCGGATAGTGGCATTACAAAAAAAGATCTCTTCACACCTTGTTCTAACAGGACACAATTTAAGACATCAAAAAATCTTTGCCAGCAAGCACATTTATGAACACGTTACGTATGCGTTTGACAATGAGGCGGTCCATGAAGCACTAACAGTCCATTGTCCTGATAAGATGATGGTCAGCCGGCAGTTCTGATAAGCCTTCATAGAAGTTGCGTTGGGGGGGGGGGGGGGGGAGACAAAGCTTTTCCTTAATTTACACATTTCCCAGGAAAAATAGATGTCTGCCTGTTTCGAGGACAACTGGGGAGTCCTATTCAGATGAGCTACAATTGTTGATTTATTCAGGCAGACTTATGGTAGCTTCTTGCTGCTTAATAGCTACTTTATACAGTATACGGATTTCTCAAGTTAGTCACAAGTACCAGATTGGAATACTAAGATATTTTGTATTGATTAGTATCAGTGTAGCTGCCACATTCTACTTGTAATCTCCATTGTTGACCTCTGGATTTACATCACACTAACAACATTACTGCTGCCATAATGTGGCATTCATTGTAACATGTCTGCATTATGGAAGAATCTTAAAATGCACCATGAGAGCAGGTTAGTAGCTTCTTGCTATGTTTGCAATTCAAATATTTTCCCATCCACATTTAATATGACCAATTAATGAGACAGCTAAAATCCAAACACTCATCTGAATACACTGAGTTTAGCAAAGCAACACATTTTGGACAGAACTCTTATGAGAAGAGAAATTTCCATTGGACAGCAATAAGGCAAAAAATAATTACTGAACAGGGGACTGCGTTTACCACTGTCAAGTTCTTTTGGCTTTTTCGTTTGTGCAATTCCCTACTTGAAAGGGATAGCCTCTACATATAAGTTTCCAACTGGATTTCACTCAATGAGTAGCCTTAAATGTAGTTGATCCACATTTATTGAAGGTTTGTGGGTAGTTCTAGGCAGTTAGCTAAAAAACCTCAAAAAGAAAAATACAAATACAGCTATTACTTGCTTAAATTAACACAAAATAAACATATTGTGACATAATTTCCATCTTTTTTTTTTGTTAACAATAGGCATATTTTACCAAAACGTTTGTTCATTACATTTTCATAGTCAAAGCATTTTAGTCAATATTTTTAAATCACATAAATAAATAAATAAACATATTAATAGGGATAATTTCAGCAACTCAATTTTAAATACATTTTTAGTTAAATATTTTTCCTACACAAACCACCTAGTGTTTTTATCAAATATCTATCCACTAAACCATAAACACACTCCAAGTGTAATTATTATTTTTTTTATACCAACTAATTTGATTACAACAATACTCAACATGAAACATTAAAACAGTTCAACACCACAATCAGTGTCTATTAAGAGTCTGTGCACTGCTCTGGTAAATTTGACAATCAATCAACAGCAATATGTTGCTTACCGGCTGTCCTTCGCAGATTGTAGTAGACTTTCTGTTTGCACAGTTTTGATTTCAGATGTGCTACAAGCACTGCTTACCCTTCATGCTACAGTCTCAGTCCAAACAAGAGTGACAGATCTGTCACTCCTTTAATACCTGCATGCTTTGATTGCTAGTAGACTGGTCCCACCTGGTCCTCCTCACTGATCAGCAGAGAGGAGTTGCAGCCAGATGGTTTACCAGAACAATCACTCTGGATGACCAACCCATCACTGTGGTAAAGAAATTAGTTTTCATCACCTTTTGGAGCTGTTGGTGCCACATTATGTCTTACTGTCCTCAACAATGCATAACCAACACATGTATTTCTGAACTGTATAAAAACGTACACCATTGTAGTGGCAAAACATTGATTTATCTCCTGCTCGACAAAATGCAAAACGATACATCTCACCTTACAGCTGAGATTTCGTTTGCTGTGGCCATAAACTTTTACTCCATTTAAGGTGCAAGAGACAAATAAGAATTCCATCGCTGCCACCAAATTGTCACAGCAAAAAGATAAAAAAGACTGGAAGACCCAGTTTGTTGATTTTTGTTTTTTTATTACAAAAAAAAACATGTCAGGAAGAACATCCCAGGGGTGAGACAAAACCAAGCAACACAAGAAGTCTCCTCAATGTTGTAAAAACTGAATTTAATATGCTTTTTGGCAACGATAAACAAGGCCATCAGTTTTATCGTTAATTGAGGGTCTTATCACTTTAAGAGCAATATGATCCAAATCAAATTCTGAACTGATAAAGTCCGCTTACTGAGGAGGGCCTTATTTTTCCACAACAACCATCACCTGGTATATTTCTTTAATGTTGGTAATGAAATAGCTTGAGGAACAACGTGAACACAGGTGTTCTGTACTGCAGGGCAGATACTAACATGCCTAACACATGATGGGGTTGGTTTTAATAAACAAGGTTATATAGGTTATACAGTATAGAGGCAGTTGAAGCTGAGTCGATAGACCAGTCCTCCTACAGTGGGAGAGTTGGGGGTTAGAGTCCACCAGTTTTCTGTCACATGTCTAAATGTCCCTGCAAGATACTGAACCCTCATTGCCTCTGATGTGTGTCCCATCAGTGTATGAGTGTGATCTAAAGCACTGATTAGTCTTTATAGAAACATTTACTCAGATTAGCTGTAGAGATGTAGTAGAGTGCTGTATGAATGTGTGTGGAGGTAAATGAAGGCACAGACTGTGTTGTAAAGTGATTTGAGTAGCCTGGTCGATAAGTACAGTCCATTTACCATCTTCAAACCTGTGCTCTAACAAAATGCAAATCAATGCAAGTATCAGACTAATGCCCCTTTTCCATTAGTACCTGTAGTACCAGTATAGCACGGCTCTACTCTACTCGGTACGGTACAGGTTGTGTTTCCATTATGCTTTAAGTACCGGTTCCAGTGGGCGGGGTTCAAATTGACGTCACCATCTCTCACCAGCTGGTGGTGCTGAGACGCAGAAACTGTTTTCAGTACAGGTTGAGAATTTATGTTATTTTGAAGTTGTGTGTATATATGTATGCATGTATGTGTGTATG